GTCACTGTTACCCTCTTTGGGATGAGAGAGACAGAGCAATGGGCGGGCTGGACAAGATTTGGTTAATCTTTGAAGTGCCTTTGAAGGGTTAACTACTTATTTTCAAAAGTGGTAGTCCTGGGAACAGTGAAAGTAAGACATGTAGTTGTACCTAGGAAACTGGTGTTTGGGACCCACTGGTAAAGAATTCACATGTAAAGACTGAAGTAATAATGCTGAGTCTAAATGGTACTGTCAAACATCACACATGATCTCTGCAGGGAAGTACAGAAGATGTTGAGTGCAGCGTTATTTATTGAAATGTATCTGCTATTTTAGCCTTTGCTAATTAAATGGCCCTCATGATGTGTGTTTATTTATGACATTTATGAGTTTGGCAGTAGCAGAGGTTTGATCTTGCAGGAAGTAGCATTCCTAAAAATAGGTTAAGCATGTTGGTGTTTTGGATATAACTGGTATAGGGATTCTTGCCTTGTAAAACCCACTTGGAGGGATTAATAACATTCTCAGTTTCTTTGCCCCCACAGACCCCCACCTCTCATACAGGGCCACAATGAACAATTTTAAGCAACACTTTATCTACTTTGCTTCCTGCCAAATCTCCATGCCATCACAGTTATCCTATGTCACAGGATGGGAATTCATGTGGGGCTTGGCAGGAAGACAGAAGAAAAACTGCAACAGACCTCAAAGAGTTTACTAGTCTTCCTGGTGTTTCAGGAGAGTGAGAAACAGCATCCTGGATGTTGGAAACTGTGCTCCATCACTGCACAGTAAACCTATGTTCCTGCTCTTGATGACTTCCTTGCATTACCTGCCGCAGTACAGGAAGGTGTGTGTGTGTGTGTGTGTGTGTGTGTGTGTGTGTGTGTGTGTGCAGGTAACTAGAAACTGGGCAATTCTTTTGGGCAAAAGAGATTAGAATTTTAAGAAATTGTCAACACAACATACTTCATATAGTTCCTTCTCAAGGAATATTTATGTGGTATAGAATTACATACTGTTATTAAACGTATTAACTGGTTTTTAATCTTCACAAGGGCATCGTCCATGCTTAAGAATTCTTTGTCCATAACACAATGCTGGGCACGTAGCCAGCACTTGTTGATTTCACAAGGGAAGTAGTTGAATTTTGTGTAATGAGGTCATTTTGGCAAATCAGTGAATTGTTCTGCAACTCTTCTTCTTCATCTGCAAAGTATCTTTACCTCCCAAGATATTACAAAGATTAAATAAGATGATGGCTTTAAGAATGACTCTTTTCAGTTTTGTTCATTCTTCAATTCTCCTGTACTCTAGATATTGTAACTTATGTAAGGAGATCAGATTTGTAGGCAGGAAAAATAGGATTGACGTTTGCTAGTTTTTAAAACAAAGTTTTCTTTCTAAGAGAATGTTCCCAGGCAACTGGTCAAATTATTTGGGTGTAATGGAATTCCTAAGTTATGAAACCAAAAGCAAACTAGAAGATTATACAATTTTCTATAGCACAGGCAGAGAAAGGAGGAGAAAGGGAGAAGGGGAGATTGAAGTTATTCAAAGATTGTTCTCTTAGGAGGTTGAAACAAGCACTAAGAACACATCTTAGAAGGCCCCCTTTAGTTTATCATTGCTGCAGTCTTTCACATCTCAGTATCTTAGTTCCTGCCATTGATTTCAATCTTTCTGAATTAAACATCCATTTACCAATGTTAAACCGCAAGAGTTCTCTTATACATTGCTTTGATTTAAAGGTAGTGCTTTCTTCTACTTCAGTACTACTTTAGTGGCATGTATGACATTTGAAAGAAAAAAGATCTCATCACCAGTTTTGATTCTAGCCTCAGTGGCTCAAGGAACTGCCTTATCCTGGAGAGTTGAGGCCTGCAGTGTTAGCACCATAGCAGACACTCAGCTCCTAGTACATCCATAGTATTTGAGTAAAAAATACTGAGAATGCTCACTAGATGTCCCTCTTGCGTCTCTAAAGAAGCTGAGGAGGCAAACTCCCTTCAGGATTGAAATAAAGGAAGTTTCTTTTGGTGCTGATTATATACATGCAGAACTGTTTTATTCTGTTAGTTAATGAATTCTTTATCATGAAGATGTTTTTGACCACTCATTTAGCCAATAGCATTGTTGCAATACAATAATTGAGTATGTCTATCGGAAAAAAATATTATGAGAGTACACCATGCTGGTTTATCAGTATAAATAGAATGGGAGAAGAAAGAACTATTGTATGTGTATTGTGGGTGTGACTGTCACTTCGTGCTTAGGTTGGAGGAGGTAGTGGGAAAGAAGGGAAGCTGATGTACGCACCATGGCCTCACTCAGCATCTGGCTTCTGAGAAAGTGATTTGGTAGCTGGAAGTACTTGGATTCTCTGCTTGAAAAAGAGGGACACATGGAGAGTGAGCAGTGAGCAGGAAGCAGGGAAAATGATGCCATCGCCTTAGTGAACAGCGTTTGTCTTTGCAAATGCAGAACACGTCTTTACAATGTGATTGCCATTACAAAGATAATGACATTCTACATGAATTGAATTCTCCTATTTATCTTTAAAAGACGGCAGAATATAGACATTCTATTAGCACTCCCTAAGGTAAGACATCCTTAGTCTTATATCGTTGTGTGCATCTTTTCAGATGCCATGACAATGTTAATCATTTTACCTGAGTAATTCTTCCATTTCTCGTTACCTGGGGGATTGTTAATGGCTGAGACTACTTCTCAGACTCTTTGCTCCTGCTCAATCAAGCCGTGGAGGCGCCAGTTTATTTCTATTGATCAGTGGGTTCCTGACAGCCTTTGCCACAAGGAAGCAGCATCATCCTTTTTTTTAACTTAAAGGGGAACAGAGAGTCTTAAAGTTTATAGCTAAAAGCTTCTAAGCATAGCATACAAACATTTTAATATGCTGCTAATTGTTCTGTTTAAATAGTCCAAGCAATATTTTAGAAAGCTGGCAAACGCTGAACTCAAATCCCTTGATTAGATACCAAACCCATTTCAAATGCTTTTTAGGCCTTTTTAATTAGACCAAGACGCACTTCATTCCCATTTCTTGACATCAAAGGTAAATAACTGCGATATATCAAATTGTGCCCATGAAGTGTGCAGGCACTGCCTGCCATGTCATTTTCCCCACTACTTGCCCATTTCCCCATTGTGTTTGCCAAAAGCCCAGCAGGGCACGGGGTTCCCTGAGCCACATCCTCTGCTTTCCATCCACAGTTCCTAATTATAAAAATTCAAGGATATTCATTGCAGAAGTCTCGATTTTCTCCCTGATATTCTGTGCTGAATTGCATTTTAATGTGAAAGAATGAAAGGACTCCCCACGCGGAAAACAGATCAGACACCAAGCTCTCTCTTTTTGGCCTTGGCTGCACATTCACAGAGTCGCAATCTCTCCGGTAAAATAATTCCTTTCTGTATGACAAAGCTATCTTTCTCCCTTCCCACCGTTTAAGGTAAAGTCTGCTAATCTAACTCCCTTTGGAAGGAGAAATTTTTGAACGCTGCTGTGTTGCTCTGTTGCTCAGGAAGATGGCAGTTTTGTGAAAATTTATTATGTGCTCAAATGCCGTCTTTTCTTATTTAAAGTTATTCTTTATCCTGCTAAAATAAGTCTAGTTTTTTCATCAACAAGCTTGAGACCGTGTTGTTGGGCTAATTATGAGTTTGCTCACTCAAAACTCCCAAATATCTGCGATCACTCACCCAGATGGGAGTTTTACTCTCCCAAGAATTGTAAATTCAGAAGCTGGTCTTTCACCCTGTCTATGATTTTAGGAAACGTTCCGCGGAGGTGCTTTTGATTCTTTCCACCAGCGACCTTAATTAAGAGCCTCAGGACACGGTGGAGAGAAGTCTTCCTCTGTCCTCAAGGAGTCTTCTATCCAGATGGCAGGCTAGGCTCCATGTAATAGCTTGTGCCGACCTTAGGCTTTCCAGTATTGGTAGATAGTGCAACAACACCGCCATCGCCACTCAAGCCGGGCTGACTGCCCTCTGAGACCGTCCCGTGGGAAGGCTGGGACGCCTTGCATATGAGCGCTGGCTCCCAGCTGCTAGGGATCTATGTAGGTGTCGCGCCCACCACACAGCTTCTGCCCAGCTCGGGCTTTTTTGGCTTGGCTTGGAGCAGCGCGGCGGCGGTTTCCGTTTCTCGGGCTTTTTTCAAACGTGGTATGCAGGGAGCTAAATTATCAAACAGGGTGGGGTAAAGGGCAACAAAATCTGTCCAGGTCTCTTGGAGGCTCAGCCCTTGCGCCAACGTTCCCATTTGATTAACGAGCAACAGAAGAGCCAGCTCAGCTGGGTCAGGGGCCCTGCTGGTGAGGATCGGGGAAATACAGACTCTGCCTAGGGATGGATGGATGGATGAGGGTGAAATACAGCGTCTGCCAAGGGATGGATGGATGGGAGTGACAGTCTTAGTGGATGGCAGCTTTAGCTCTAGGCTTAAGAGAAAACGCTTGGGCCAAGGGCGGGATGAATAACGCTGTCAGAGGCGCTTTCTTCTTCCCTTTCTTCCTTCCACTACCCAAGAAGGAGATAATGAGAAGATGAGAAGAGAGGAAAATGAGAAACAGAGAAATCCAGGGCAGGGAGGGGGGCAGAATGAATATCAATATTATATTCAAGATACAAAGATATATGGTGGAGATAAACACCCCAAGAGAATCAAATCCTTGTCTTTCCCGCAATCGCTGCAAACTGTAGAGGCGTGCAGTTCCTGAGCAAGCTCAGCCGCAATGCCTGCACGTACCCTCTCTGCTCCACCCTGCCCTCTTTCCCCTGCCTGTCCAGCCTGTCCGGCCTCAGAAGACTCCAGCTGGGCTCAGCAAACCAGAGTGAGTCTCTGTCCCGCTTGTGTGTAAGTTTCAGTCTGACCCCGCCCCTCTCCGCCCCCCACGCGCTTTGGTCCCTCCCCAAGACCCGAGTCCTCTGGTCTGCACGCTGATTGGCCAGCGCCTGGCGTAGACCGGTTCGGCAGCTACCGCTCTCTTCGGCTCTCCAGACTCCACAGCCAGTAGTTTGCGGCATCCGGAGGAGCAGCAGCATCAGCAGCAGTGGCGGTTGGTGCAGTGGGGAGACCGAAGAGCTAGCGCAGACGGCAGCACAGCTCTCGCTCACCATGCCTGGCTTGCCTGAGGGGCTCTAGCAATCGCGTCCCTAACCCAGCGCAGACCTTTGGTTCGTTGTCTCCGCAGCATTCCAGCTAAACCGCTTCGTCCGAGATTCGAAACCTCCCACCCAAAACCCATCTCTTCCTACTCGCTCATACTCCACACTCACACTGCTCACACCGCACTTTCACTCTTCCTCTCTCAGACGTTCGCGCACAGCGCGACACGGAGAGCAGCACAGACCTTCCCAGCGCTCAAACGCCAGGCAAGGGAGGGAGCCCGAGCCAGCGCGGCCAGCACCTCTCCGGAAGGATGGAATCAAGACGCTCCCGCAAGTAAACTTTGACGGCGACAGAACCGTCGACTGTGGCAGCTGCTGAGGCGGACCCCAACGACCAGCGACTGAGCTAGGAGAGCTTCCTACGGTGGCGGCGGCAGCGGTGGCGGCCCTTGGAGCTACACCCCAGTTCAAAAGAGGGAGGTGGAGAAGCCCTGGGTAATCGCAGCTGTAGCCCCGCCTCTCCTGGCCGGTACTGTTGTCCCTACCCTTTCTCTTCTCCCCATCCCCTTTTCCCTTGCCCAGCTGGGCCGTTGAAAAGATTCGGACTTTTGATTTTTCCTGAACAAATTGCCATTTCCCGGTTTTCAGAAACTTAACGTGGCTCTGGGCTGTGCTGATAACTTTAATTTTGGAGACGAAAACGCCCACAACCCACCACGCGCTGTGTGTGTGTGTGTGTGTGTGTGTGTGTGTGTGTGTGTGTGTGTGTGTGGTGTGCGTGGGAGAATTCGTGAGCACCTCGGACCCTGGACAGACTCGCCCCACAGCCCTCCGACGCCAACCTCAGGACGAGGAAGCGAGATCTTGCGGCGGTAGCCTCTCTCCCCTCCCCCTTCTTCTGCCGGCCCCGGGACTGCCAACCAGCTCAGGCAGATCCCAGAGCTCCCAAGGCGCTTGCCAGCAACTTAGACTCCTGCCTGCTATAACCTCTTTCCTCAATAGGCCTAGAACAAGCCAGTGTGGCCCTCTCGGATCCCGCAGAGTGCGGTCCAGGCGGGTCATCTCTCCGCAGTGAGCCGGGAGTGCTTTGGGGGGAGGTCCTTGCGCATGCCAGGTGCACAGACAACGCACTCGCCAGTCCCGTTGCGGGCGCTCTGCAGTGGGTCGACCAGTGCCTGAAAGGCTTCGCCCCTACTGTCCTCCGTGTCTTCTCTCTTAGTGCTGTCCTGACTCAGCCGCTTGTCGTCTCCGCAGCGCAGACGCCGCCTGATCTGCAGCCCTGCGCTGCTGCGGGCAGTCGCGCCTGGCTAACTTTGAAGGGGGAAAACTGAGTAGCCGGGCTGGAGGGAAGGGGCTCGGGGCCGCGCGGCGCTCCCTCGGCCCCTTGGAGTCCCCGAGCCCCCAGCGAGCCCCCTACAAGCCCACCAAAATCTCAGCCTTGGAGCCGGCGCGGGTATATCACCCGCGCCGCCGGGCCGCCCTGGGCGGGACTCTTCCCTCGGCCTCCGGGGCTAAGGGGCGCGCGCAACAGGCGGCCCGAGACGGCAGGAAGCTGGAGCGCCGGCGGCGTCGGTCTCGGAGGGGTGTGGAGAGGCGAGGCCAGGCAGAGCCTCGCGCAGCCATGGAGTCTCTCCTGCTGCCTGTGCTGCTGCTGTTGGCGGTACTGTGGACGCAAGCTGCCGCCCTCATTAACCTAAAGTATTCAGTAGAAGAGGAACAGCGCGCCGGGACAGTCATAGCTAATGTAGCAAAGGACGCGCGGGAGGCGGGCTTCGCGCTGGACCCCCGGCAGGCCTCTGCCTTCAGAGTGGTGTCCAATTCGGCTCCACATCTGGTGGACATCAATCCCAGCTCCGGGCTGCTGGTCACCAAGCAGAAGATCGACAGAGACTTGCTGTGCCGCCAGAGTCCAAAGTGCATCATCTCTCTGGAGGTCATGTCCAGTTCAATGGAGATCTGTGTGATTAAGGTAGAGATCAAGGATCTGAATGACAATGCACCTAGTTTTCCGGCAGCACAGATTGAGCTAGAGATCTCAGAAGCGGCCAGCCCTGGCACTCGTATCCCACTGGACAGCGCTTATGATCCGGACTCTGGAAGCTTTGGAGTGCAGACATATGAGCTCACGCCCAACGAGCTGTTTGGTCTAGAGATCAAGACACGGGGCGACGGGTCTCGCTTTGCTGAACTAGTGGTGGAGAAAAGCCTGGACCGCGAGACACAGTCACATTATAGTTTTCGTATCACTGCTCTTGATGGCGGTGACCCACCGCATCTGGGCACCGTTGGCCTCAGCATTAAGGTGACTGACTCCAATGACAACAACCCTGTGTTTGGTGAGTCCACGTATGTGGTGAGTGTGCCTGAGAACTCGCCTCCCAATACACCAGTCATCCGCCTCAATGCTAGTGACCCAGACGAGGGCACTAATGGCCAGGTTGTTTATTCTTTCTATGGCTATGTCAACGACAGAACGCGTGAACTCTTTCAGATTGACCCACACAGTGGCCTGGTTACTGTCACTGGTGCCTTAGACTATGAAGAGGGTCGAGTGTATGAACTGGACGTACAGGCCAAGGACCTGGGGCCCAACTCTATACCAGCACACTGCAAGGTCACGGTCAACGTGCTAGACACCAATGACAACCCACCGATTATCAACCTGCTGTCTGTCAATAGTGAGCTTGTGGAGGTGAGTGAGAGCGCCCCCGCGGGCTACGTTATTGCTTTGGTTCGTGTGTCTGATCGCGACTCAGGTCTCAATGGACGTGTGCAGTGCCGTTTGCTGGGCAATGTACCCTTTAGGCTGCAAGAGTATGAAAGTTTTTCTACTATCCTGGTGGATGGACGGCTGGATAGAGAACAGCATGACCAGTACAACCTTACCATTCAGGCACGCGATGGTGGGGTGCCCATGCTGCAAAGTGCCAAGTCCTTTACTGTGCGCATCACTGATGAGAATGACAACCACCCTCACTTTTCTAAGCCCTACTACCAGGTCATTGTGCAGGAGAACAATACTCCTGGCGCGTACTTGCTCTCTGTATCAGCCCGTGACCCGGACCTTGGTCTCAATGGCAGTGTCTCCTACCAGATAGTGCCATCTCAGGTTCGGGACATGCCTGTTTTTACATATGTCTCCATCAATCCCAACGCTGGCGATATCTATGCACTTCGGTCTTTCAACCACGAACAGACAAAGGCATTTGAATTCAAGGTGCTGGCCAAGGATGGCGGCCTTCCTTCCCTGCAAAGTAATGCCACAGTGCGGGTTATTATCCTGGACGTCAATGACAATACGCCGGTCATCACCGCCCCACCTCTGATAAATGGCACTGCCGAGGTCTACATCCCCCGAAACTCAGGCATAGGCTACCTGGTGACGGTTGTCAAGGCAGACGACTATGATGAGGGAGAGAATGGCAGAGTAACCTATGACTTAACTGAGGGGGACCGTGGCTTTTTTGAAATAGACCAGGTCAATGGGGAAATCAGAACCACACGAACCTTTGGAGAAAGTTCCAAGGCTTCCTATGAGCTTATTGTGGTGGCCCACGACCATGGCAAAATGTCTCTTTCTGCCTCAGCACTGATCCTAATCTACCTGTCCCCAGCTCTTGATGCCCAAGAATCAATGGGCTCAGTGAACCTATCTCTGATTTTCATTATCGCCCTGGGCTCCATTGCCGGCATACTCTTTATTACTATGATCTTCGTGGCAATCAAATGCAAGCGAGACAACAAAGAGATTCGAACCTACAACTGCAGGTAAAGCCAACTTTTCTTTCATTTTTTTTTTTCTTTGTCTCCAATGAGTAAGGTGTGTCTGTCTTGCCTTGAAACCCTGGTGCTATTGTTACCTACAGAAATGCATGCATCCTATTCAGAGTGCTTATTTGTGGAGGGTGAAGTTTGTGACAGCACAAGTTGATCAATTCTTTTGATTGGAAAATTTGCTGGAAGACAATAATTTGCTATTTGAATGGATTCTGTCTCTTAATGATGATGAGTAGCAAAGCAATTATCATTTTAAAATTTGCACACGTGTCTCTTTAAGTTGTGGTAGAAAAATTAAAGAAAGATCACTAGATAAAGGAGAGGGAGGGAGAAAGGGCTAAAGGGAGAGAGACAGAGGGGGAGCCAGCAGAGAGAAAGAGCAAGAGAGAGAGAAAGAGCAAGAGAGAGAGAACTGGGTCTCAGTATTTTGGGGACAGGTACTGAAAGAAAAGGGAGTGCTAGTAGCTCCCCTTTTCTTTTGGAGAGATAAACTCTGGAAGAAACTTTGGAGTGGGAGTCCAAGATAGGAAACAGACCAGGGAGAGTAGAGAACTGGAATGTATGGAGAACTAAGGGATTAATGATTTTTAAGTCTATTCTTGGCTTGCTTTGTATCTAGCCCACAAACATCTGGATATATAAAATGAAATCCTGGCAGACATCTGCATGTGATCCAGTGTGTGCTCGGTTACTATATGGAGACCAAATATCCCAATGAGCAACAAGACTTTGCTTCCAAATATTTCAGTAAAAACAGCAGTCTCCTGGAGTTGTTGCTTTCCTCTAGTGTGGAACTGTGCTGTGGCACTAAGATCTGGTCTCTTCCAGTGGACATCACTGTGAATTTATATTTCCTTACAAGGATGTGCAGGATGTATACGGTTGGAAGGGTAAGAGGAGACTAGAAACGAGTAGAGAAGAAAAATAGGGAAACTCAAATGATATGTAATGTTTTTTAAAAGTTCCTGAATAGCATATTAGAGGGTCTTGCTGGTTTTTCCTTACGATTTGATAGAAAAAAATAAGTCTTAAGAATATCTTAAATTCACTTTAGAATAACACACATAATTTTTTCCAGCAATATCTCATCAAAATGGTTGAAAAAAGTTGTTTCTTTGCTGGACATGAATGAATATTCTGTTTCCAACCAAGAGGTGTGTGTGTATGTTCTTGCGCATGTGCGCACATGTGTGTGTATGCTTTCAGCACACCTACACATATAGTGTGTCATTTTTGCCATCTGTGCTTGCATGTTAATCAGTCAAAATATGTTTCTGTAGGTCAGACTAATATTTGACACCTTCTGAAATGTACATTGCTGTGAATCAGAGTGCCTGAATATGTAACAGCCATGCAATTATTGTTTCCTTTTACTATTCTCTGCATTACACAAGTTAGTAGACAAATGCTAACCACACATGAATATCAATCAGATGCCATAAAAGAGCAGCTGCAATGCCTCATAAATGCTTTAATCCTGTAACTAGTGAAATGGCCATGACTTTTCTTTCCCTCAGCACTGAGTCATTTCATATGGGAGAAATGGAAATTAATATTGCTTTTACCTTTGAAACCTGTGACTGCCAGTGGTGATTTTTATGGAAGAAAAATGCAGGGTCTATAAAATTTTGTTTATAAGGAGATAATGACAGAATGCACACTTTTAAAGCCCTTTTCTCAGTATGAAGTTAATGCACAAGTCCTATTTCTTGATGAAGAAGAAATAAGCTTCAAATAAAGATAGTTAAGGCTTTGCCACCTCTTAGTGATGTAGTATGACTAGAAGTGAGAGCTCTTTCTCTGAGCTTGCCAGGGAGATCATTAAACAAGGAAAACATTTGAATGGGGGATTGCAAGTCTTAGTGCTCTCAAACTTCGTCCAAATGTATATGGTATAAAGCACTCCTTTCTCTATGGTGTTTTGGAATTAATGAAGTATAATTTAATTAAATAGTCAATACAAAAAGGGGTGTGCAAAGAATGTCTTGGTTGAATAACTGGATGGAGCATTGCCAAACTTACCCATCGTGATAAATAAAATGATTGGAACTTCTCATTTACTTTTCAAAAATATTAGAAAACAAAAGAAACCTTATTTCTGGGGTTTGGGGGATATTATATGCTCCAGGATTGAGTAGAATCAGTTTACCTTGGCTTCAAATCTCGCTGGGCACCAAGAGAAAGGATAAAATTGCTTAGTTCTATTCTGGTGACAGAGCAACAAATTCCCTCCGTGGGCATGCAATTTCCCCATCTGCTCAGAGTTCTTAGAAACCTAAAGTTTAAGAGAGTGTTTTTCTATTTGATTAAGCAGAGATTTCTTTTACTTCTATAGAACTTTTTTTGAAATGCTTTCATTTATGAGACTTGCAAGATGGTCTGCAATTGCTGCTTAAATTGGGCTCCCATTTTTGTATTCAGACAATTACCCTTGTCAGTGAAAATACTGGCACAGTCTTTCCCTTGCAAAGATCAACCTGTATTATTTATTAACCTTATTGTTTTGCTGATTTTTGCCCAGAAATTGAATTTCCAAAAAGTAAGCTGGAATCATTATGTGTAAAGTAATAAAATGACACTGAGAATTTGGCTACATTTTAATGTATTTCTTTTGACAAGTCTTTTAATTCTTAGTCTCTGTAAGGCACATAGCTGGGTCTATGTGAGTGTTAATTAAATTGAGCTTTTTATGTTCCAGTTGCAGCACAGCTGCTCGTAGGTACACCTAAATGGAGAAGGATGCTGAATGCACTAACCTTTACATTCTTTGCAGTAATTGTTTAACCATCAATTGTCTCCTTGGCTGTTTTATCAAAGGACAAAACAGCATGTGTCTGCTTTGCAAGTTGGTTTCTCACATTAGTGAGGACCTAGACAAAAAGGCAGAAGAGAAAGTGAGCCTTAGGAGAAGGTGGTAAAGCATTATGCACCCCACCCCATTCAAATGGGTTTGGCTATCAGATTTCTCTAGGAGAGCAGGGGATGGAGTGGAAAGTTGAAGGGATCTGGGCTAGAGCTTTGAGGAGAATAAGGAGAAGAGTTGCAGAGAAGATATCAAAGGACAGGGTCCAATCTGCCCCAGTCCAAAACTGATTGCATCAGTAATAGAGGAAGTAGATTCAGGATGCTTCCACATAGCTTATGCTTAGAGGAACGGGAAAGGTTTTTTTTTTTTTTTTGTCTTTATTTCCTTTTCTGTTAAACTGAGACTTTTTCACCTATGAGTTCCTTTGGGTTCCAGTAAAGATCCAGATTTAAGCATTTTTAGGCTTTCTCTCTCTCGGAGGCTCAACTTTCCCCATTCCCTCACCCTTCTCATTAGCCACCCAAAATGAAAAATCACAAAGCCAAAGTATAGGAACTTTTTTTGGGGACAGTGGGAGGTTACTATGTTTAATATGAAAACTTGGTGTCTCTCAGCTTGTTTTCTCATGCGAAAAGCACGAGGAGAAATCTGATGATGTAATGCACCAGAATAACAAGCTGGAGAAGAAATGGGGTGCAATCCTCTAGGGTGCTTAATGTTTATTAATCAGTGTATGGTTTAGAAGGATATTATGAATTGATGCTGCCTTTTCTATCATATAGAATCGCTGAGTACTCCTATGGGCATCAAAAGAAATCAAGTAAGAAGAAAAAAATCAGTAAGAATGACATCCGCCTGGTGCCCCGAGATGTAGAAGAGACAGACAAAATGAATGTTGTCAGTTGCTCCTCCCTGACCTCTTCCCTCAACTACTTCGACTATCACCAGCAGACTCTGCCTCTGGGCTGCCGCCGCTCTGAGAGCACTTTCCTGAATGTGGAGAACCAGAATACCCGAAATACCAGTGCAAACCACATCTACCATCACTCTTTCAACAGCCAGGGCCCCCAGCAGCCAGATCTAATCATCAATGGTGTGCCTCTGCCTGAGGTGAGTGCAGACAAATAGCTCTATGAGACTTTCTCAGATACATCCCCACAAAGTTTGATTAATTTTTCTGCCTAAGCCAATGTCCACACTTAGGATTTTTTTAACAGGGCTTCTTGTGGGGAAGAGGCCAACCCAATGTATAGTTTCTTTTGTATAGATTTTTAACAGGGCTTTTTGCGGGGTATGGGAACCCAAGGGGTCTGAGCTTGGTTCAGCTGTTGCAAATATGGCATGCTTGACAGTATGCTAGTGGAAGTAGTTTTAGCAAAGTCACCCAGTGTTACTGAAAATAAGTTGAAACCCTCTCATGCTGGAGTGGGGGGGGGGTCGTCATGTGACAGTTCAATCTCCAAAAGTACACCTTTGCTTTTTACCTCCATAACACCATTTTCCTGTTTGCTAGCATCTTACCAAGAATATGGATGAGCGGGTTAATGGGCGGCAAGCAATATTTTAAAAAGTCACTTTGCCATTTTTTAGCAGTTATGTTAATAATGTTTGAGATTGAGGAGGTTGCTGTCACTAATATGAAAATTTTAGGAATTAATTATGCATTTGAGTTAACTCTGTTTCCCTTTAGTATGATTGAATGTTTTCAGATGGAATCCTTGTAGAACAACAATGTGGTCAGAAGTTTGATGGCTATTGAAATATTCAGGGTGGTACAGAGATAAAGCAATGTTGGTGGCTGGGTGGAAGGCTACAAATACCAGTTTTTTTTTTTTTTTTTTTTTTTTTTTTTTTTTTTTTTTTTTTTGGTCTTTTTCCTTTTTATCGGTACAGGGGATCAAACTCACAACTGCCTGCTTGCAAGGCAGGCGCTTATGCTGCCTGCCCAGCCCCCAAATACCAGTTTTTAAGTTGATTTCCTTTTATTTGAATTACTTAAATACCTCTTTGGTTGGAAGTTTGATACACTGAGAGTGTATGTTCTCTTCTAGGACACAAATGACAGGGATATTGTAAAGTTGGAGAATATTTCCACATTTATCAAAACAGCTTCACAACTATTTTCTTGATACTCCTAATCAAATACCTTGATAGACTGCCTAGTGAATTATGAAAGAGAAGTCCAGAGATATTAAGTGAGTTGTTGAGACTCACAGAACAGACCATCAAAAAGGGAAGAATATATCGCCAGGTTCTGTATTTCCCAGTGACTACTATTTCAGTGATACATTCCTGTCTCAGAAATAATTCACCCTGATCTACCCAGGTTATCATATACCTAAAATGGCCTGATATTTTTATATTGATTCCCTAGTTCTTTAAATATAATTTCCACCAGAATTAATGGGACAAAAAAGCTGACAATATTCTGTTGGCAACAAAAACACCAATATTTTAAGTTTATAATTCTGTAAATAATGGCATACTGAAAGTCTAATATTGTACCAGGTAGGTTCAATTATAATTATTAATATCCCTCAATATAGCTAGGATGTCGAGCTGTAGACTAGTTGGAATATTACATGTGGACCACCAATAACTTAGCATAGGAGATAAAAATGTAGTGCTCTATAGTAGAATTACTTCTTTCTATGGAATTTTTCTTGATCTCTCTTCTCATCTACTAAATAGGTACATCTGCTGTGCAGCGTTTTTTCCAAAGAACATATCATTGTGTAATATATATATTATTTATAGGTGCCCTAAATGATAGATCATTTTATTAAAGAGTAGAGGAATCACTATTATGGCCTGCTCACCTGAGTATGTCTCGCTAGGCACCTGTCTTAAAACCAAAGGTAAATTTAGACTGGTTCCATAAAGATAAAACTTCCAAAAGGTGTGGCCAGACTATTCATTATGGTCATTAGACATTGGAAGTGAAAGATATCAAGGTTGTGAGTTTAATTGCTGACAGTGCTGCTGCTTGGGGAGATAGACAAAAATACTGAATCCTGAGGGCAAGACAGTTATTTACGCAATCAGTTTAAGAGACAAGGCAAATGTTAGCTCCAGTATCTACAAAATTAATTGGAGGGGTGGTGGACATATGACTATGATTACATGATTTATCAAAGATCTTGATATACTTCCTGAGACTTCCCCTTTGGCAGAATGAACAAAGGACTGATTCAGTTATTTAGAAAAGCTAAAGTCTCAGTTCTGATAATCTTCTTGATTCACAAAGCCAAATGCTCTCCTATGTAACAAAGTTATACAGATCTGGTATATAGGGCTTGACAGATCCAAGATACCATATAGTAGACAGTGTAAAATTAAGCATGTATATCCAGTATGCAATCTTGGAGAACTCAGTCAACAAACCCATTTAGAAAAAGGGCATTGCTGAGCACAAACCAGACCATTTAACCTTTATCTGTTACAAGATTCCGCATGGGAAAAATGACACTTTCTGTTATTGCACCATGTTGGAACCCTCTAAAAGTGGACTGCATAGAATAGTTAGGTCAAGTGAAGTCTATAGAAGTGCAAGAATGATTCACTTATCCATTCAGTGGATATATGTCAAGTATCTGCTTTTGGAAGGTACTACTTTAGCCTCTGGAATTGTAGTGCTGAAAAACATAGTGTATGCACATTCTAATAGGGACACAAAAATGTGAATAGGTGATTTGCAATATGGCATGTTAAATACTACTACAGGGTACAGTGAGATTACCAGTATAATAATATCCTGATATATTTCCTATTATTTCTTTATATTTTTCATATTAGTTAAGTAGTTCATCAAAGAAAAAATATTTATTAAGCGATTATAGCACTGAAGTATAAGTTTGTGATTCTATGAAAATTAATAAACCATATTATATTATTTGCATTGGCTTGTATATTATTTCAATGAACCATTTTTCACCTACGCATTAATTCAACTCACTGACATTAATTGAACATGTAGAATGTGCCATACACTATATGTATTGCTTGCCAGGGATACAAAATAAAACATTTGAACTTTAGTCCCAGGAAGCTTACAAGGAAACAAACAAGTAAACAGATAATTTTGATTCAGGATAATATTTATTGGTTAAGCATAAGTTAAGTTCTTATCTTTCAAGTTGGTACCAAGGGTCACTACATTTTAGATTACTCTGCTAGGCTACCTTTTGTGAAAAACTCACTCCCTTTGCTAACTGCAGTCAGTTATAGGCTTTACTCGAAATGGCAGTTTTGATGAGTGAAGTTACAAATGCTAAACTTGCCTACTACATGCTGCTTCTCCTTCATCCTACTTTGAAGTTTAGCACCATGATTTAGATCAAATCAGTAAACATTCTCATAGTCGCAACTGTACTCAATTGTGTAGCAGATACTTTGAGAATACGTAATAAACATAAGCTGTGTCTTCTGCCATCTAAATGTTTACATTCTAGTTGAGAAGCTAAGCTATGATCACCTACATGATTTCACAGGCAAACAATAGAAGAGAGTTCCTAATGACCAGTTACTTTTCTGGCTCCTTAGTATTCCTTTGTCCTTCCATCACAACTCTGCCATCATTTATACATAATTTGACAAGCTTTGGTGGTACTAAATTGTGGGTAATTTTTTGTTCTTGTTGCTTTGTGGTTTTCTGGAGCTGAGGCTCTATCCTGAAGACTGGAGCCCTAAAGGTGACTTTTGAATCATTGTATAAACCTAGCCTCTTTTAAACATTCTTAGCTATAGAAACTAAAGGGAATGTAATTTTGAATAAAATTTGGTAGATAAGGTAAAGAGAATGGAGCACTATTTAGAGAACTGGAATTTAGTTTTTCATATTGTAGAGATAATGTTGCATAGGATTATACATCATTATTTATCTATTCCTTGGTGTTGGTTGGTAAATCCTCTATGTGGATCTAGTTTTGTACACAAATTTGAGAAAGCGAAGTGGGAGGAACCATTCTTATTTACAGAGGACTTGTAGAATTAGTGATACTAGATATCTTTCAAATGTTTTAAGTCAGAGGGTGAAATTTTCATTTATGGGCTTCCTGGTTTGCTTAGTTTGTAGGCTTAGTATCTGGACCTAAATGAGAATGTGTGTGTGTGTGTGTGTGTGTGTGTGTGTGTGTGTGTGTGTGTATGGGGGAGAAAAAATGAAGAAAGGAATGCTGGTTAAAAAGGTAGAGAATGTAGAGGGTTTATCAGTTTGTAAGACATTTCAAAAAGCATTTCAATTTGTTTTGAGAGCTCTGTAGTACAGTATATAATGTTTCTTCTAATCTTATGGCATGAGGGCAAGCCTTTTGCCATCAGACAATCCTAGCCATTGTTAGAGGTAGCAGATACAGCTCATTTCTTCCACTGGGAATGGAGTCTTGGTTTTCTTCTCTTCTTGCCATTAAGAGGAGTGAAATTCTACAAATATTTGGTCTCTTTCTTGAGACATTTAAATATTTTAGTTCTCTGATGTTGAATATTTCTGAGATGATCAGTCTAAGGGATTCAATGGTGGTAAGCAAAACCTTCTAGAATTCCAGTCATTGTTGCATAAGGATTTAGTTTTTGTCTTCAATCTTGAATCTTGAATTTTCTCTTTCTATTTTTCTGCCTTTCACTAGCACACTTTAGCATCTCTGATCTAAGGCATCCTAAAAGGTGTGTGTGGGAGCATGAGCACATGTTTGTTTCTGTATGTGTTCTGCTGTTCTCACTCATACATCAGCTTCATAAGTAGTGATAGTGGAAGCAGTGGAAGAGTGTGCAGAACGAGGTCATATGTGGCAAACTGAACTGAATGTATCCAATAATCTTCTAAAAAAGCTTAAATGCATGCTCATCTTAGTTCAAATAATGAAAATAAAACATCAGTTAGTCTTTGAAGAAAAAGTAAAAGAGGCTGAAATAGCTCAATATGCTTCAGTTCTTAAAACAGAGTTTTAAAACTCTAAACTTTAAAGTTAAGGACTAGCAGTGAGTCGAGGGAACTCTGGGCTGGGGAGAGCAACAAGCTTATCAGATGTCAGGTTGGAAAAGCACTAGAAAATTAATGGATATCAGGAGACTCATTTGAGTAGCATAGAGATGATATAAAATATAATTTTCAA